ACGTGAGCCGTGACTTACTTGATTCACACTTTACGGCTCCCTGTCTTTTAACAAATATGACATGACGAAACTTCGTGTAGACAAAGCAATCAGCCATTTGGGGAACGCGCATTCGAACACATTTTCAAAAGCCAATGCCGATAAGCCAGGTGGCCGAGCAATTATCATGCCAACATTCAGCATGGATGATCAAAGGTCAGCAGGTCACGACCCGCACGCCAGTCATCAAGCCATTAGCGCGCAGGCGGGCGACTTTCCTCGATAGAGGAGAGCCGTTAATTGTCATAGATATGCAGTAGCATAGCGACTGTGTGTACCTCTTCTCGAGGAAAGTGCTGTCTAAGATACTGATATGAAAACTTGACTAATTATGCGCGTTTTACCAAATTTTTTCCTTTCTATGCTATACCTACAAATATAATATCACCCGAAGGAAATTACTGCAAGCATGCAACAGTAGATATCTGAGAAACGAGACTTTTCATATAAGTCATTCTCGAGCAACCTTCGTTTAGTAACAGTCCAATCATAATTTCCGACGAGGTTCATCGTGTGTCTGCAGTATGCTGAACAGAGAAGCAGTGATTTCCCATGACTCATTCTACGTTTGTGATAGACTTGCGGAGCACCTACCGTACTCTCTCCTCCCTCAACTATTCCGGCCCGACGTCATGACACGGTCTAGAAAACGGCCGGTGGGATTTGACGACGGTGGATTGCGCAGCGTGCGGCCGTACCCAGGCATTCCCCCATTTGTGGCATTCGCTGTGACTGCGCCGTCCGAATACCATGGACCGTGCCTGATCTGGCTCGCGTGTTCATCCAGTGCACTAACTGCGTAACCAGCTGTAGGCAGAATTCACCTAGTACCGATTACTCACGGACTCAAGGCTTCATCTATACTTACAAGGATATCGATTATTCAACTTGTTTTTTTCCACGGCTTTTTTGTCTATAGCTGACAGAACTTCACTTTAATGAATGCAAACCAAAGGTGAACAGTCAGTGTGTGTAAATCCACATTAAGTTCTAGTACTAAAACGTAATTTGAAGTTGCTGTGAAAAGCATCAACCTTGTGACCGGAAAGCAATCGGGTTCCAGGTGTGCATGCCCAGTTTGAGGTATGCGCAATCCTTACGGTTTTAAGGAAATCGCAAAGATTACCCAATAAAAATTATTCTTCAGAAGTAACTGCGGACCAAGCATTCAAACATGCGGAAATAAACAATCAAATGGCTTCGGACACGTTATTGGTCGAAGAAATTCTTTGGTTACATAGAATGGAGAGATAAATGTGTTCTTATTTTCAATAGACGAAGTTTCCTGTAACAGTCCTTATGAAGTGATACTAGCCAAGAAAGGATATAGTGGACGGGCTAATTCTGGACTATTTCACATCGTGGGCCTCATTCCGTTCTTTTGTTACGACAGGCCGATGATAAAGACAAACGTATAAACAGGGAAAGCCTGCAAAACGCTATTCACTGTTGGGAAAGACACAATAAATAGGGAGGGCAGAAAATCTTAAATGTAAAAAAACATTTATTACATTTCTATATCGTAGCTAAAGCAGCAAATTGTTTTTAAATCCACAGCCAGAAAGACCAAGCGACGTATAGCTGAGCAAACCTCATCATGACATTTTATGCGAAGCAGCTAAGTGCCTAATAATCTTTG